AAGGAACAAAATTATCAGTGTCATGAAGTACCATTTCAAAGAAAATTAGAATGGAATCATTCACTGTACTGTTGGAACAGATTCCTTCAGTAACAGAGGTACATGTAAATCCTTGAAAATGCTTCTTTAATCTAAAAGAGCCTTTTTGTGTTACATCTTGTTAACTAATCAGAATGTAGAAAAAAGAATGTTAGTGATATAAACCCAAGTCAACTAATTGCTGTCTGCCATCAGGTAAGATCAAATTTCTCCACGGATGTTGAAAATCCTGTCTGTTCTTGTATGATATACAACAGGGAACAGTGATCAGGTGTTGACATCACACAGTGGTACAGACCTCATCCTGATATCACCAACAGTTCATAGGAGAAAGAAGAGAGCGACAGACAACCACTTTGATGTCACTGTGGCTACCACTGGAGGTAGGTTTGAGTGTTTGGTACCTAATAGACCAATGTGACAGCCAGAACTAGAAGAACCATGCTCCAGGACTGGTTGTGGGTACGTGCTCGGAAGCCTCTTTGATCAATAAGATTCTGTGATTTGCCAACTTCATGCCTGCCTCAGGTTTCACAAGTTGCAGGTGAATGTCGTGCCCATGCAGTAAAGGCACACCAGTGGATTAATGTACATATGGGGATATAATCAAATAACAAACATATCTCATAATATTATTAGAGAAGAACGACAGGGCAACAAGTCACCGCGTTGATTGAAGTACAACAGATTCATCAGAGATAATGCCTCCCAGTGATATCTGCAGGCACGTTTTCCCAACATCACCATTAATTTAATTGAAAGTGATGGTTGACTTCATAGGGAAAACAGGTGAAAATGGCCATTTCTGATGTGTACTAGGCCTAGGTCGTTGATAAAGAATCGTTATGAAACCTGGAATTCTGTTCTTTGGTTTTCTCAGGGAGTTGCCAGTGTCAGCCTATTACCACAGTATGAAATGGTTGAATATCTCAAATCCAGTTAACCTCATTTTTCTATTGCAGGTCTGCACGTGGGTGGTTCTCTCATCCTAGGCTTGCTGGATGTGAATAGAACCAATCAGGAATTCACATCAGATGCTTCCCCCGATTATAAACCTTACATCACCAATCCCCTGTATACCATCCAATACACATCAAGACTGCTCAGGCAAAGGTGGGCCTAGATGCACACTTCTCTTGACTGTGCTCCAGTGTTTGTCTCTGTGCACTAATTAGGTGGTCATGTCCTCGAATAGAAGCTTGTTCAGCTTTTGAAGTAACTTGCAGAGAACAATCTGTTAGAATCATGGAGTGATTCTATGAGAATGGATTACCTTGCTATGGGAATGGTTTTTAATTATCAATTCAGTCAAAATGTTAATAATACACCTATGAGCGGTCTCTCTTGAATGTAAAGTTCATGCAGGACTGATAAACAAGTTGTACAGTTTGGTATAAAATATTTTGTAATTTCCAACAGAATTTGGTACTCTAAGTGTAAAACAAGCTTAAAAAGATGTTATTAATTTTACCATTACACGTACAAATATTCAGTGCTGTTAATGCTATACAATAATGAAAGACTCCATTGTTTTGAGTGCACTTTTCAACACTGGATGTTGTGTAGGGGTTCTTGATGTTTTATACACCCAAGGTGGTAAATGATACCCAAGTGAGGCTGAGGGTGCCATTTGCTTCCTTGGAAAAGCACCCCTTTTCCATTGTTCTCCCTGTTACTTTTGACTGGTTTCACGAAAGGACTTGGACTCAACTATAACCCAGTTGGATTCAAATGTATAAATGAGACTAAATGGTGCATTTCCTGAAGTGCATTAGTAGAAATTTTATGCAGGCCTCTACATATTTTGCTTTTATTTGAAAAGGCAAACAAGTCCAACAAAGCTGTTCTGGCAGTGAAAAGAGGGTGCCCCAACTTTTTCTACTGGGTGATAAAGCCCCCTCCCCCCAGGTGACACACACACGCACCCAGGCAGGGTTAGGGTTAGGGTTATAATGGAGTGGGGCTGAATGGATCAGTCCATTAATGGCTGATGCCTGATGCTGTCATGTCTGTCTCCCCGATTAGAGAAACCTTCCACCACCGTTTCAATACAGATATCATGTAACACCATTGCTGTTAGTAAAATGACATTATAAGGTTCTGTTCCTTCCAGGATACGCTTTGTGTATGAGCCAACGTTCTACATCTCCAGTCTTGGTCAGATTGAGCTCCAAGGGCCACTGGTGATCAGTCTGACTCTCAGAACACGAGGGAACTGGACAGAGGCAAAGCCTAGACTTATCTACTGGGACACAGGTAAATTAGACTTATTGATCTCTGAGGTTGCTGGTTTGTTTTACTAAACACGAGAGCAACTTTAGTCAAGGACTATTGGTTTACTGGTAGAAGTAAGTTCATGGTATATTTTTTGCCTGCACGTCAGTATGAAAAATGCAAACATCTAACTTAATCACTTCCTGCCGGGGAGCCCAGTTTCAGGCAACGTGTGTTTATACGCGTGGCTGGGGTCTCCAAAATCGGACAAAGGGAACTGGGCCTTGTAACAAAAGACCGCACTCGTAACAAACAACCAGGCTGCTGGGCGTTAACGACATTTTTTCACTGTCAATAGTGGAGAAAATCCAGCATTGTTTTGAAACAGTATACCAATGTTTGGGGCATTTAGTGCGAGCGGATTACCACTGGGGACAAAAGCGCTCCACCACTGCAGCGATGAGCCACACAGCACCGCTGCACGCTAATCTGGCCCCTATTGAAAGAGGTCAGCAGCGCACTGTGCCAGGTTAGTGAACAAAAGAAAGTTATATAACATTGTACAATCTGGGCTCTTTTTACAAGGCTGCAGGCCTGGCTGAAATACTCAAGTGTCAATAGATTTGTCTATCAGACTAGAGTGGCCATCAGACAGTAATTCATGTGGGTGTAAACGTCCATTAATTGAAATGATGAATTTTTGAAGAATTTTGAAAACTGAAAATCTTGAAAAAGTCCTGATTATGTGCACTGCATTTTTAAACCACCCGGCGGCAAGTGGTTAAGCTGCATTGTGGTCAGTTGCCACCAGCATCTCATAACAGTGAGCAAGCTCAATCAAGGACCATTAGTTAACTAGTGGTTGATTCATGACGTACCGGACTTAGCGCATATGCAGGGAAGGTGGAGTGCGAATGACCCTAGCCAACTGTTGTCAGGTCAGTAGGCCGAAGGGGAGAAAAGGTGGCCGTGGGAAGGGCAAAAACAAAAGCGAAAATGGTCATTTACTAGTGACATACTCTATATCGGCATTTTTCTCATAACTGGTCCTGTGTACACTGTGCTATTAAAAAGGATTTATGACAACCAATGATGCGACCAACCTTGATAGCCTGGTCACGAATAGTTGACTAAAGTAATCCAGCATGCATTTAATCAGAGTTAGTCGAACTATGGTTAACTATGGTCCTTGATCGAACTTGCCCAGGCCTGTCCTGTCTTCCTGCTTGGCATTCTATAATGTGTGGCTAGCAATATCTTGTGATTGAGGCTGATCCCTGTACCTGTCCCATCTGTTTTCAACAAACACATCCGTGCTTGTTGAAATATGGGGATTGATAGTTCTTGAAATGTGCATGTCCCAGTGGATGATTTATTTAAGTTCCATACCCAGGTTGATACCTCATTTTGACACGAAAACCATCAATCTTTTGATTATATGGAATATTATCTCTGACTGTCTCTGGAGGGCTTGGATGGTTTTTAGATGGTAATGACTCATTGCGTCGTTACTTTCTCTCGCATGAATCCTTAGTAAAAGATAGGAATATCTGCCAAGCCTCTGCTTTCAGCCTGAATATGTCAGTGTCTGTCATTTCTTAGACCACTCTGAATGGCGTGATGCAGCCAAGACATGCAGTGATGTAGATCGTATCACTTATCTCAATGGTGGAGACCAAGTCAACGTGGAGGTGAGTCATTGTCAAGTGTTTTAATTCCAAATTCATCCACCTTTTCACTGCATCAAGAGGCAATAGACTAGAGGTCTTGGTCTGTTTGCAGATTGCGCAACCTTCGCAAGCATGCACAGCATTGTTGATATCAGTTTTGTAGGACATGCAGCAGGGTGCTGGACTTCGTGGAATCACATCTCAGGATGATGTTGATTTGTCTCATCATTATTTCAACTACAAGACAATCGAGGATCAGTTTTGGCAATGGATTCTGCCAAAGCAGTACATCCAGTTAATGGTGGAAATAAGACAACGGCCATTTTACATTTTTACAATGGGGGAGGTTGGGACATAACCCCTTCATACTTCCAAACAAACAGCTAAAACAGAATAGTTCATGGTGGAAATTGTAGAATTATAATTGAAAATCTATTGTTAAACTTCTCTTCAACAAAACTCCACACTACTTTCAAACTTTAGATTTTTTTTGTTTGACAAAACAGAAAGACAGAAAATTTCTTGCTTTGATGTTTCTTCTTAGGTTTGCTCTACCCAGGCTCCAGCCTCATCACCCTCAGCGGCAGGTCGTAAGCGGCGAGCTGTGCAAGAGGAACCTGTACCAACTAGCCCTTCTTATTTCAGCCATGAGACCCAGTTTGCCTTGGCTGTGGTCCTTGATACCATCCCTAACAGCCCTCCAGTGATCACAAACTTCATTGAGAAGATGATCATGAATGAAGATGAAGGTAAGTTCCTGAGCAGACTTATATGTCAAACTGCATTCAAAATATTCAGATAAGCATTTCCTTAGATAGCTGTTGATGTTTTTAAAGGTATTGTTTTATTCTTATAAACACTAATGAAATAAGCTCGTATCACAGAATTTTGTAGGAGACATTGTAGATTGTTATAGTTTTGGGTTGTTTCGATGAAAATTGTATTTGTTCACATTTCATATTGATCAGGGCATTTTCTTGTTATTATCTTATTTTATGAGACTTTTTATATTTTGGGATTATAAGTAAGGATTATTTTCAAAAATAACTTTGTGAACTGTTGAATTTTGACAAATATTTGGTCATTGCCAAGGTCTAGCCAGTTTGCAAACTTTCCATAAATGTTCATGTATGGCCAATTAGGCAGTCACAATTTGTGCACCCTTTGGTACGTTAATATTTCTACTGAATACCTGAGATTGAAAGTCACTCTATGATATTTGGAAGTTGACAAAAATAAGAGAATTCACATTCGGCAAATCAAACTTTTTAAAATGTATATATTTTGTCCATGATGAGGTATGTAAGGTCACCAAAAACATGGCAACTGGCAACTACGTGGCCACTTTTCTCTTGCCATCCCATTCCAGGTACTTTGATGTATACATTCCAGGCCATTGATGCTGAAAATGACGTCTTAGTCTTTGAACTTGGCAGCAATAAGGACTTACAGGGCACTGCAACGATTACTGAGGATGGTGAATTCAGCTACACACCCTGTGCAGATTGCTATGGCATTGTCAATGTCCATGTCACTGGTGAGAGGTTCTAAAAGTCTGCCAAAATATTAGAAAGTTTTTAAAAGGAGAACACATACAGCCTATATTTTGTGTCAAGAACTTCTTATGAAGAAGACCTTCACAGATGACTTACTATGATTACTTTGTTGTTGTGCAGAATTCTTCTCAGATCCTGTACAATTCAAATCTTATTCACCGCAACAGTTGGATTGGTATTTTGCTTCAAATTGTGATTTGTGTCAACAAGTTTAAATGTAAATTGGGGATAATGGTCTCCAAAGTCTCTGTTTGCAAAGATCCGTTTGCTATTTTGTTTTTCCTTTTCATATTCTTTTTCAGTAAGAGAGTTGCAGATCTTCACTGAGAGAGAGTTCCTGTCAACCGGCGTTGATATCACCATTGAAGTTCAACCAGTTAACGATAACCCTGTGCTGTACAGTGCACAGAACAGCCAAGTTGTTGGCAATGGACGCATTGCATTGGTAAATTAAAATGGATAATGTGGGTCTTTTTGCAGTGAGCAATTTTAATTTAAGCTAGATAAACATTGATTATTGATTTAATTATGCATGCCTTCCATTTCAAAAACTTTCTTTGATATGTGAATCATGCCGAAATTTTTGAATGGAAGGGAAGTATGTAATACATTAACTATGTAATTACCAGGATAAGAGCATCCACTGTATCCCAAGATATCAGTGAAAAGTCTTTCAAAAAAATCCCAGCGTATCACCAAGAATATCACAAAGCCGTTGGATTGACAAAGTATAGAGTGCATATTCCTTTGCCAGAGTATAAACTGTCTTATCCATCATGAGGCAAAAGTTATTACAAGTTCATGTAACTGATGTCAACAGATCTGCTGAAAGTCATATTTACTTTGCCTTGCGCCGTTTGTTTAACAGTTAACAGTTGAGCAGAACACAGGTTTCAACGTTGCCTACAAGGAACTTAGCTTTGAGCTAGGAGCTTATGACCCTGACATCACCGATGAATTGACCGTCGTGACCCAACCTCCAACCTATGGCACCCTGACTCTGACAAGGGTATCAAAGACTGTGCCAACAGCGCAGGGTTGCAGTGAGCCCTCTATTGACAATGAAGAGCCTGTCATCCCATGTGGGCTCACGCTACCCCGCAGTGAGGTAGGCCTAATTAAAGTTGTGATATATTTTCTCTACCTGGTATCCACTCTGAGTTATAGTGCACCCTCATTGGCACAGGAGAGACAGACTGGTGGGAAGTTTTTCCAACCGGAGTTCGTGCATGTGCCTGATGCACATGTGAGGACCATACATTCAGACAGAAATAAGTCGCATGTGCTCAGTGAGTCATGCATCAAATGCTCTTGAACCAGTGCAAACACAGAGTGATTGGCTGCTTACCAAAGGACTGTCGGTGTTATGCAAAACATGCCCTCTTTTGTTCCTGCTCAGAGCACATAGATGCCAGCCCTGTTCCTTCATGTAACTTGTTCAAAGTCACTGCTATCCCGCAATATACTTACAGTTGATGTAGCTCATAAGCATGCATAACTAATTTTCAGGACTTGGTTTGAACTTAACTACAGTAGATGCTGTTCCAGCACTTCCTAATTTGACATGTAGACTATGCTCCATCCAAGATCAGTAGAATGGGGCACAGTGTGTCTATAGACTAACCTGATGAGATGCCATCACTACAGTGTCACCTCATTTACGTACGGTTAGACCTGAGGCATGCATGTACTTGGCAAATACAGTTATTACTTGAAGAAACATGCACGTGCCTTCTGTGCAAGAGTGTAAGCAGTAATGCCAACTTCTATAATTGTGGTTGCCAGATCAACCTGTAACCAAGTGATCATTCGACTTTCTTTACACAACCACGGATGGATTGTAACATTATGATGAATCATTTCTCCTAATTGACCGTCTGTTGGTTTCTTGGAATATTCTAGCATTTGTTTTTACTTTTTCAATTCGCAAACTTCACACAGTTTTCTTTTCACATCTGTTTTCACACTTTGCAAGGCCTGTTAGCCCAATGGGAATCTGAAGTCATGCTTTTTTTCCTGTGCACAGTTCAAAATAAGAATTATGCGGTGTGCAGAAATTGCCATCAAATTCCCAGTGTATATGTATATACTTTCTTCACTACAGGAGGACATGAGTTGGACAACATCTAGATTCTCCTATGCTCCCAACCCCAACTACCATGGCAGGGATAGCTTCCTGGTCTTGGTTGAGGACCAGTCAGGGGCCGTGTCTCAGCTTCTGGAGGTACAGATTGCTGTGCTTGCCAACCCTTGCATCAATGATGGCATCTGCAGAGGTCAGTCACTTTGTCATCACGTAAAAGCTTCGTTTGTCAGCTTCATCACTCATCATTACTTCACACGCTGGGCTTATTGTCCATCTTTCATCTGAGACCAGAAACAGGAAGTCTTTGAAGCTGTGGACATCAGAGATCAGCAGGCACTCTCATAGAGCTGCTCATTAAAGCATCGAACTTGCTGAGCACAAAGATTACTTTCTTAGAAAAGCGATCGTTCCCATCAACCAACCCATCATGGATATGAATTGTGCCTGGCATTGTTTGCACGTTTTCTGCTAAAGCAACTGGGACAACTTTATCCATGTTCTCTTTCTGTTACTACCTTTGTGTATACAGGACCAGCAGAAGACCCCAATTGTACCTCTCCAGCACGTAGCGATGGGTTTGATTCCTACTCCTGCCTGTGTCAGCCTGGATGGTTTGGTGATGCCTGCCAGACTCATGGGACTGATTCTGACGAATGTTTGTCCACACCTTGTGAATACCCGTATGTCTGCTACAGTCACCACGGTGGTTACCAGTGTGCCTGCCCATTGTCTGATCCACTCTGCGACAGCTTCAACTGGAGGTTGGTGAAGATATTTGCATGCCAAATGCTTTTTTTCTCATCAGTGCTATTCAGAATCTGTGTCTGGTGCGTTTTTCTTCTTGGACCATGCAGTGTCCACAGCTTGATAGTTACCAAAAATGTTCACAGATTCAGAAAAGCAATGTACTCAGAAATAATTGTAAGTGGGGTGCAAGTGCATCAACATAATTTTACATTATGTCAACGGTGTCATTAATGACACATTCTTCTCTTTCATGGCTTGAAGTTTTGGATTTATGCAGAACTCCCCTTATCAGAATGTGAAGGCAAAACCCAGTTTCTTCTGTATAACCATGTTGAAATTGTAAAAATAGTTTTCAATTCCTTAAAATTTGGAAATAGTTGGTACTCTTCTTTTCTATTTAGAGCCAGAGTTATTATTGGCATAGGCAGCTGCATGGTGGTTGTGTTCATCATCGCTGCATTGGTTCTCTACGAGCAACAAGAACACAGCAAAAAGAACAGGTAAGTTTAAACATTTTCTTCTTTTGACCGTGTCGGAAACCAATGTTAAAAGTCCCACAGTTATACACATAAACTCTTCAAATAACTCAAAGCTTTAAAGTTTGCAGTGATTGCAATATCTGGTTGTACCATCTTCAGTGTTAATTTTCTAATGTAGACTTTTTCTTGATGAAAACACAGCCATTCAATCTTATTGTGCATCAGATAACTGGAAAACATGTTCACTTTCATAGATGCTAGTGGTACAGGGCATAGTCCTTGTCAAAATGATGTAGGCTTTTAAAGTACAGTTGTATATAATTAACATGGCACAGTGTGATGATGCACTAGGCAGAACCTGTCAATGTCACAGAATAACCCAGATTAACATCCTATCATAAAAGTGCATTCCTGATGCGTTGTGGGAGGTTGGAGCTGCAACTGCATGAAATGCTAAACACAAATCGTTGACCACTGACTGTATAAAAATACTTTTTTGTGTTCCTCTGAGCTTTGTACAGTCCTTGATGCCTAGTTTGTCAGTCATGTGAACTTCCAATTAAATGTATTGAGTTGCTGAAGTCAGATATTTTATGAAAATGTTGTTATATACAGAGCCAGTTTTTCAGACAATTCATCAGATTGATATAATCTCTGTCTTATTTTTCTTGAGCAGATTTCACATCCCTCCCCAGATGGATTCCAGTGTTCAACCTTTATCCTTTAACAATACTGCTGGTCCTGCAGTGAGCCCTACTGATACTGATGTGTTGGCACAAGCAATGATCCATGTGCAAAGTCCTGGGAATCTCAAGGACCCTGATGAGATTGATGAGCCAGTGGAGTTGCTGACTTTCCAATGGAGGCCTCCCCCATCATTTGAGGATGAGGATACAACCTGCCTTGAGACAGAGGTTTGTACCAGGATAGGTGCCAGGAGTTTGACTTACTCTCCTTAAGTGACAAATTTGAAAATGCTGTTTTATGTAGTGACATAAAGCCAAGTGCTGTGCTGTCATAAATTAAGCAAAGAGCTTTAGTCTTTTGACCTAATAGGCTGCCATTTCCTTGGGTTTTGGAAACTCATGAAATAGACACATAATGGTATACATGCACAAAAAGTTTTCTCAGACAGGTGGAAGGCTGGGCATCAGATTTTCAACAAGTGCTCTTGAGATATTTGCCTGTACTTGGTGTATATTGCTTGGTGAGGGTTAGGTTGGTAACACCACAAGCAGATAAGGCATGTGGACTCAAGCACATTTAGTCAGTAAATGTTTGTTAGTTGTTGGTAGCATTGCCTCATGCTGCAGACTAGGGCCTACTTAATACCATGTAGGTGGACTTTATGACAGCTGTATGTATAACCACACCTCATCTGTACATCGAAATCAGATCTTATGAAATCGTATTAGTTGCTATGTGCATTGCCATTTCTGCCTTAGTGGAATTGTAGTGGGATAGGCCTGCATAGCCGCAACTTCAGGGCTTATACTGTCCTTGAAAGTCCTGGAATTTTTAAAATATTTTTTCAAGGTGTTGAAAGCCCTGAAATTTATCAGGGGTCATTGAAAGTCCTTGAAAATTTACTTTTTTGATAAAAAGTATTATATTCATGCAGATAGTGTAATGTGATGACAGGTGTTTAAACATACACTGTCAACTGGCAAAATTGACTTGCTACCTTTGCTGGTTAATTGGCTTAGGAATATATTCACAGTCAGAAGTGGACCTGTGTCCAGCAATAATAAGCCAGCCATGTTACTTTTAACTAGTACAGATAAAATGATCTAATACCAATTGACTCATAAACAAATCTCTAATAAACCATCAATGGTTGCTGGATTTTGGTCCATGAAAGTGGGATTTCTCTACCTTGAAAGTCCTTGAATCAAGCAATTCTACTCCTATTACAGTTTTCTTGGTTCAATAACTTTTCCAATTGTTACTTTTTTTCCCCTTTTTACCTCTTCAGAATCAAGGATCTGTTCAAGATGTTCATGAAACAGTGATTTAAACAATCGACCATGGCTGATCAACTGCGTATTAAAGGTCAAATGTCAGAACCTTTACATTTAATGGATTACTTATAGTGGCATTTTGCAAAAGGATAAAGGAAAAATTACTTAATAAATAGTATATTTACTGCAGTAGAGATTTTATGGTTAAGCTTTTACTTGTTATTCTACACAGCTTGTTAGGTTAACATAGACCTATCAACAGCACTTTTCAAAATTAAGCAAGACTGTTTCCATAAATAACCCTTGGAAATGACATTTGTTTAGATGGACCTTTCCTTATGGTTTAATGGCCATAACCGAATTCTTTAATTTCTTCAACTGTTTTAGGCATGCAGCAATTGTTTATTGCATTTCAAACTTCAAAATTGTAAGGAATTTTGTTGCACATTAGCAATATTGCTACTGAATTTTTATGTAGAATGCAAGGATTGCCTAATGATAAGCAGACCTATCTCAACATCAAATCAAACTTTACAATGTTGGTTGTGCTGTACATGTAGGCCTATGCAAAAGTGTTCTTTTTGTCTACATTTTACACACAAGGATATACCAAGTTTAAAAAGCGTAAAGGTACTCATTAGGGCTAAGATTCAGATTATGAATCACTTTGGTGGACGGATCGACTTGTATGCAATTTATAGCATCAAAAGGCTTTTGGAATAATTGGTAGTATAAAAATTAATTTTTGCATGAAGTCAGAACAGACCAAAATCATGATATCACAGATTACGCAATCTCAAAGTCATCAAACCATCCGTTTCTAAGGAAATGGCTGATACATGGTATAATAAAATGAAATCCCTTGCTAAACAAGGTCGCCTCTTGGAACTAATGGAAGCTGAAAAATCCAACATTATGTGGAAATCAATGATGTAGGGGACGTTGGCGCTATTGGACCACTTAAGCTCATTCTTGATTCTAACTATATTCAGTAATCCAGGAAAAGGATAAAACTACTCTTAATATATGACCAAAACACTTGTTTGTTATTACAAACGGTTGAAATCAATTACATTATTAAAAACTTATGAATATTAGTATATATAAGTATAGATCATTTAATATTCATCCAAAAGTGGACCACTAGCCCCACACCCTGGGCAAGTGGACCACATCATAAAACTTTAAAACGTGCCACCAAAAGAATACGAAATGAATGTTGGCATGAGTAACTTGATATTAAAACACTAAAATTGGCGATTGTAATTATCTCAGAAGCACCAGATTTCAATGGAACAAATTAATTAGAAAAATCCCTTACCTTTCCTCCTGTCATACAATTTCGTTTTTGGAATGTTAAGCAAGTTAAGTTGTTTGGTTTTCGCATTTGTATTATCCTAAATCATAATTTGAAGTTTATTTTTCAAGTTGATTTATATTTCTCCCATGGGCCTCAATTTATGTTCAGCTTAACGTCTGATAAAAATAAATATTATTGTTCAAACGCAACTGCTCAATTTCAAAACCTTTTAATTGTTTTTGGCCTTAGAGTAGTCCAGTTGCCCCGATGACCCACTTGCCCCACTCTCCCCTACGTGTACAATCAAAGTTCTTCACTTCTGACTTAATGCACTTATAGATACCCTCTACCAGTCAACGCTAATCTCTGCCTGTGGGGAAAGTCAGTTGACCCCGGGTGTGCACTCTGCGCGTCCAGTGAAACATTGTAATGCTCAATCAAGGTCATTACTCCTATGATCACAACAGTGTTCTGCCAAAAATCTGTAAATCCCCTGATAAAATGCACAATAATTGCTCTAACCGGAAACTCTTTGCTGATCTTGAAGGTAGACATTCTTCTGAGGACAATACAATCCCACTATCCATTCTACCAACCACACTCAAGCCAGACATTGCCATAAAAGATACACTCAACAAAGACATCACCGTCATTTAAGTGACAGTTCCATTTGAAACTAACGTAACTAAAAACTACGACTATAAAATTCAAGAGTATGCCAACCTATCACAAGATTTGTGTGAGCTAAGCTTCAACACCAAACTTACTGCCTTGGTAATAGGAAGTAGAAGTTTCAATGACAAAAACGACAACACGTATATTCACTCTAGAAAAGGTTGGGAAAACTCACCACTCACCTGTCGTAAAACAGCACAGGTCTCATCTTTTGTCATCTTCTACTCAAAATACGGCCCTGTCTGGATCTACTTTCATGATCGACACTTTTCTTGACATTATTCCCTTGACCAGGGCAGAATACGCTTCCGCTGATTTGTTTTCTTTCTCATTTTCTTTGTATCCTTTCAATTTGGCTTAATTTGAAGTGTTTGTTAATTGATTCGTTAGATAATAATCAGACCACATTTATTAATGGTTCAATTTATTTTATTAATTTGTTTTAACCATTTGTTAACGGTTCAATCTATTTTATCAACATTAAGACTTTTTAAGACTTCATCAACATTAAGACTTTTCCTTTGATTGGTCTTCATGTTCATAATGTCTTGGTTCCCTCCGTGTCTTATTCGTAGTTGTTGATGTATCATTTATGAATAAAAGACATGAATTAACCAGTTTACATAACTGGCAGATAGTACATGCATTTGAAATCATATGCTACTTTATATCACGATAAAACGTGCATAGATCACTAAATTATTGCTTCTTCAGTTTCCCAAATATCATTCAGTGAAACTTCAAAAAATGGCGCCGCCCGTGGTCGGCAGTTAACAGTACAGGCCGGATTTTTCGAGGCGCCATACAACGGAAAATTTGCAATTTGGGAAAGCTTTAGGGTGCTTGTATGAAAGTCCAAACTCTGAAAAATACGCCGGTGTAAGTAAAATTGTCGAGTCATTCTCATTTCGGAAGATATTAGGATTCAAAGTTTGTGACAATCCTGCAGTTTGGATTTCAGGCATTTAAGACATGCCTTGAAGTAGGGCTGTGGTGGCGACAGATAAGAGACAGATTGTAAAAGAGAGCCACTACAGCCCTATTTGTGGGGCTACCTCCTCCCCTGCGACTGCGGGAATGATTATCAATGTGATTCAAATCAAATCTGAATTACAATAAATCAGTACATCTGCAGCTACTGGACGCCTGCTTCTCTTGAGTATTATTCTGGTGTAAGACCAGACCCGGTTGTCAAGTCTGACATGTTGACTACGTGCATTTCAAGCTGGGCACCCAGCAGCGCAACCCCGCGCATACTACAAATTTGTCATTACCACCTGTACTTCTAATCGTACGGGCAACTGGACTACAATTTTAATAAATAGATCACATGGATTGTGTGAAAAGTTATGACAAAATAATGCAAGCTTCAAGTTAATTATGGCTGAGTTCGGGCGGCTTGTTCTCGTTTGTTACGAACAGCTCGATTTGTTGTTCGTGGGTCGGTCGCTCGAACGCCGGGAATGTACAACCGGTTATTAACGCTAGTAGTTATTTGTGGCAAGCAACATGCAACATGGCAGCGTCTTTGTGCATTCTTCGGTAGTTAATGTTGGATAACTGGGCTAACTTCTTTTCCATTTAAAAAAATTAATTTCTGTCAAAATTTTCCATTGTCGTCGGCTTTGTAAAGCCATATTGGTACTTTTTGCGGCTGTTCAAAAATCAAATCCCACGAGCTTTTCCGTGTGTTCGTGTGAAATCCTGACGAGGAGGTGGTGTGTGAACCTGTTCCGAGAACAGTGTTCTTGGATCTTGTTTCTGCCGTTCGAGCGCGAGAACACGAAATCTGTGTGAAGAACGGACCGCCTGAACTCGACCTATGAAAACTAAAAAAGGTGGAGTTTGGTGATAGTCTCAGGTGTGGGGTAGTTTATGGCTAAAGCACCATAACTCTACCCTGGGGAGTTGGACTAAGTTGTCTCATACAACTTACAAGGTCGTGACATCTGGGCCTTCCCTTGCCACGCCCAGGCAAAACCTGCACAGACTTCCACAGAGATCTTATTTTTAGTACAGCACACAGCAGACTATGCACAGTGTAATTTTAAGTGTCAAAGATAAGGGTTTAACAATATTGATTTACATGGGCTAACAATGCATCTACTGCATGCCTGGCCGGGCAAGGGGTGTGATGGATGAGGGGGCAGACTAAACCAAAAATACAAGGGGAGCAAAATACTTAATTAACACGGGGGCCATAATCGCGTGCGTCCATAATTCACAAAATCATTTGACAGAAAATTGGCACATACAAAATGTCTACTTCAAATATGTGCTGTGACACTCATAATCGCACATGCAGTATTATTTTATACCCATGTCAACTCTGGTTAACGGACCCAGTTATTGACAAAAATCATGACCGACTGGTTAAAGCATAAAGGCGCTTTTCCGTATGCGCGTCAACACAAGTGTTGCGTATCTGTCAAAACCGCTCCCAGGGCGATTTTGACGGCCAAACGCAACGCACCAGCAGAGGGCGCTCTGATGTGTGACTAGACCTTGTTCGGAGCAATGAGCCCCACGATAACCCGAGTACATCCATTGCCACTTGGACCTGAATATTTCAATAGGGCTATCTCAGGGCTAATACACCACTCACAACTTGCGCCGCAAGATGGCAATCAACCCTTTAATCGACCGTAAGCTCCCACGAGGAACTCTTACCGCACCACCTGAAATAGCCCCTTAATTAACCCCCAAGCCCCTCAACGACACATGCACCACTCGGACTGGGAATTACCCACAATAACGACCCAAAGTACGAGGGTCTTACGTGTACGCCCGCTCAGTTGCTCCCCTCATCCCCTCCTTCCTCCATGCTCTGCTCTAACCACAGTTCAAGTTTTTGTCGAAGGAACCCAATACAAGATCCCCCGTAACATCTCCCGTCGCGCATTATATAGCTTTCGCGCTACTGTGACCACGCCCACGTACGCACTCACGTGACCAAGCAATGACTTTCGCTGCCCTATCGCACTACGCACAAGGCGGAGCCTTTGCGACGCGCTCGCTAAACACACAGTTATGCGCGCCTGACATCTGCCGCTCTGTTGCTGGGCAGCGCGCCATCTATAATTTCCGCTGTGCGCTATGCATAGCACCCTCTGTCGCGTCACACTATTATACACAAGGAGTAAGCACATACAGAAATCAAAAGGGTCAATGGATGCGTTCGATTAGCTTCCCTGAATACCGCAGTGTTACACTCAAGGGAAGCCTCGAAATGAGGGTAATCGAACGCTGCAGTGTACTCGCCAAGGCATTCTGGGAAAAAGGTCAAGTTCCCGCCACATTCCATCGTGTACGTCCATGCACGAACAGTCCTTCTGTGACGTCATTACACTCGGGCAGCCTCCAGAGACCCGCTCACCAGCCGGGGTAGTAGTGGCTGACACCAGGGCAGGCACGAGGATCGCGTGATGGCTAAACGAACGCTCTCGTGTAAGTTAATCGAACGCACCCAATGATGGCCACCGCTAGCACTGCACGTGCTGCAAGGACAAAACAAAGTACGCGCCACTTGCGGGTTGTGATTTGGAATGCTCAGAGTTGCATTTGCATAGGATTGCCGGTACCGCGCATGCGTATCCATATCATGCACTTCCGCATGTTCAACATAGCCGCCTCGAGACGGAGACCACCGTCGTCGGAGACTTAAATTTCGATAATTTTAGCAATAGTTCTGATATTCCAATGACAATGAAAGTCTGATTACGTCTACATCAACAAAGCGTCTCCCCTAACAATAAACAGAATTACTAACAAATACAAGCTCTCCAAAAATACGCACAAGAAAACTGAAAGAATGTAGCTCGTCCAGAGGAAAATTTAAAAAAAATCGTTGTCCTTTCTGTTATTGTCCGTAACTGTTTCGGCATGAAAGCTAACCACGTTGTCAAATGCATCCCTGCGGCATGTTTCCACCTTCTTTTAACTGTAAGAACCACTAGGATTGCGACTTGTGATATAAATATTACAGTTCATATTTGGGTATCTCTTCTCTACTGCCAGAACCGCAAAATGTCATAAGTGACTTTAAAAACCTCCGACTTTTTGCCAAATAACCACCCGATTCATAATTTTCCAGCGCATCTGTGGGGATCACTCGCTGACTCCTGAGGACTGCAGAAGAGAACTACGCATCTTCTTCGTGCATCTTTTCCATGTTCATTTACTCCAGTATGCCGCAGCGAAACATGGCGAGTCTGTGGGTAAGCACAGTGATTGCCACCCGGCGGTGGCAATCACTGTGTAGGAAGTCTAGGGTCTTCAAAACTGGGGCCGGTAACCGCGCTTTGTCTATGGAGCCGACCGGAGCAGTTAATTATCAGATTACGGTTGGTAGGGACTTCGCTGTAACTACTTGCGTTTCATCGCTTTTATGGTTCTACGTTGCAGAAGCAAAGGTTGGCTTAGGCGCAACGATGGAATGTTCTATATATGGTTATTTCATGAATGTGGTCAATAAGGATTTGAAGTATGCTAATTGCCAGCTTGGGCAAGAATTTCCTCCGGATGTTTCAAGTCG